CCCCCCCCCCACTATGATCACTGTAACAGTGCTCCCTCCCTGCTCCTTCCTCATCCACAATACCCAACACCTCCAGATATGTTGGAGCATGTGACCTCCACTCTGTGACAGTGCTCGGGTCTAGCAGCCAATCACTAGGCCTACACAGTCACATGACTAGCGAAGTGATGTCACCACCTTGGTCACCATCATTTCAGTGGGGGTTCCTGAAGATGAAGCAGCAGTGAGGGATCGCTGGTAAAGCGAGTATATGGAGGGAAGCCCTTTGCAGAGGCACTGCACATAGGGCAAAGTGACAGTGTCCTTTTAAATGAGAACTATGGGGTCACGGTTTTTTCCCATAGTTCTCCTTAGGGTAACGGGAGGACACAAACTAGCGTCCTCCCGTCACCCTAAGCTCAGTATATAGGGAGCTACAGCTCGCGGTATACTGAGACGCCGCAGCTGAAGCGGATCCCGACAATTATGTCTGGATCCGCCCAGCTGCGTGACTGACAGCTGGCTCCGCCTATCTAGAGGCAGAGCCAGCTGTATCCTCCCCTGTCCGTTCCGCCAGTCAGCGCTGGCGGATCGGAGCGGGGAGGGGGGAATCCAGCCCCTCCCTTGTCACGGCAGAGAGCTGTGACAGGATAGAGAGGTGAGCGAACGCCGGTATGTGTTCGCTCACCTCCCGATCTACTGAGCCGACCTGTGACAGTCTCATTGTCACAGGTCGGCTAGAACTATGAGGTGAGTGAAAAGCACCCCCCCTCATAGTTCTCCTTTTAAATAAGCACCGGGAAATTTAATTTTCTTATGATCAGCGCGCACCTCTCTCCAGCTGCGGAAATGTCCCTCAGCGGTCTCACATCTAGTGCAGGTCAGTGGTCCTGAATTAGACGTGGTGATGACAGCAGTCCATAGACTGCCAGACCCTGGGGGAGAGGAAGCTGCGGGGACCTGTGGTCACATGATAAGTCGGGTTCAAGCAGGAAGAAGGTCCCAGTTCGGGTGTTCTTGCCACTGCCTAGGTGACATGGATACTTCCTATTGCCTGTGCAGCGGTGGGGTCCTCTCAGGATCCATAAAACTGATGACATCACAAAGAGGAGACAGGTCAACAGGGATACAGACTGCAATGCATGATCGCCGGTAGTCCCTCATGGAAGTGCCCCCATCCCCCTGGACAGCCCTTCAATCACAGGAACTGCCATGTGCTATGTAATGGGGCTCTACTGACCAAAAGGGCATTTGCATTGAATTGTTATAAAGGTGCAGCTTGGCTTCCCTCTGAGCCCGATGACTCGGCAGAGCCCGGTGTTCTAGAATGACAAAGGGGCAGCGCAGGAGAAGTCTTGGCTGCAGCAATGCTTTTTGTATTTGCATTGAGCCTTTTAGAATGGAGCCGCTCGAGCAGAGAAGCATGTAAGCGATCTCTCGGCTGTTGGTTGCTGTGTGCTAAGGATAAATAATGAATCGCCGTAACCCGACATGATGTCCCTTCCCTTCTCTGTGTATTTCTATAGACATGGGGACATGCTGTTCCTCTTCCCGTCCAGCGCCGCCGGCACGTCTTCTGAGATCATGGATACGTCCGCATTGACTCAGGCTGCAAGACCGTCAAGTGCGCCTCAAGTGGTCGACGATGAAATCGATCAATACCTGAACAAGCAGGAAGGGAAAATCTACCCAAACCAGGCAAAACACCAATTTCCCCCCCAAAAAATAACTGAACTCTGTAAGCTGTGCCCCGAGAAGGGCAGGCAGAGGGCAAAGGGCAATTCACCAGTATGCTCTGCGGTCTCCATTGGTCTTATTTGTTTCCACGTTCCTTGTTCAGCACTGAGTCCCTGTATGGAGGTGACCATCTTGGTAGAGGCAGGGCTTTGCTTCCTCACGTTAGAGCCTCCAGCAAGGAGAACAGTGAGAAGCACGGTAGCGACATCACCAAATCTGGTGACACCAGCAGTGCCTTAGATCTCACACTGCAGATATCCAGCTATGGCGCTCTATATTGCATAGCAGGAAGTGCGCTTCTATTTATCAGTAGGTACATATTTGTCTCTGGGGAAGTTTACTTGAATAAAAGAGCAGGGGTAGCCAAACTCCGGCCCTCCAGCTGTGGTGGAACTACAAATCCCACGATGCATCTCTCTCCGGGAGTCATGACTGGCTGTGAGAATCTTGCAATGCCTCATGGGATTTGTAGTTCCACCGCAGCTGGAGGGCCGGAGTTTGGCTGTCCCTGATATAGAGAATGTATTTAGCTGTTTGGCTGGAGTTCTCCGCATGTTCCCTTTCTTATTTTAATATGTACCTTCTCCATCGTAGGTGTCGGCATGGCCCTCTGGGGAAATGTGTGCACTGCGTCCCATTGGAGGTAAGTGCCGGGATTTGGGCACGGGGTGTTGTTGTGCTCTTTGTACCTGGCAGTCTCTCCCGGACCTCCTTCTCATATCACCGTTCTGTCTTGCAGCCGTTCGATGAGGATTATCTCAACCATCTGGACCCCCCAGTCAAACATATGTCCTTCCATGCTTACATCAGGAAGCTGACCGGAGGTGCCGACAAGTAAGGATCTCCCATACAAGCACAATACCTGTTCATGACCTGCAGCGTCTTATCATCTTATGTAATGCTGAAGCTGAACTCCCAACAAAACTAATTGGTGGGAATTGATCAAAACCTGGAGCAGATTTGCACTGTGGCCAATCGGCTTCTCTGTCTCATTTTCAAATCTTACCCGAGCAAACTGAAGAGAGAAGCTGATTGGTTGCCATGGGCAACTGCACCACATTCTGTCTGCTCCAGTGTTGATGAATTCCCCCCACTGTGTCTAAATCTAAGAGTCACAGGGTGTTTAATTCTGTTCATTTATCTTCCACAGAACCATCTTTATGACTTCTCTGCATTCTGTCTCCAAACTATATTTTTTTTCCAGAGGGAAATTTGTGGCCTTGGAAAATATCAGCTGCAAGATAAAGTCTGGTTGTGAAGGGCACCCACCGTGGCCAGAGGGCATCTGTACCAAATGCCAACCCAGTGCCATCACACTCAACCGACAGGTGAGGAATATAGCAGCAGAATAGAGCCCGCTGTGAGCGCTGGCGTACAGGAGACGTGGAGGAACCGAGGAGCGGACGATTCGGGAGCCAAAAACATAAAATGTATCCCATTGGGGAGATTTACTTTCACTTCCTGCTCTGTAGACACAACAGGAAGTGAGCGGATATCTCTCTTAAAGTGAGGGAAGTCCCCTGTTAGTTGTCACCAGAACAAGTGTTCCATTTGGAATTTTTCTCCTCTATTCCTCTATTCTATCTCAAAGTTTCGGTTTTCCCGTCCTTTTGGCTGTATATGCCCTTTAAATCTTGGACACGGGAAACGTTTAACCCCTTCATTACTGAGGCCCTTTTTTCCATTTTTGCACCCATGTTATATTCCACATTTTAGGCCTGAAAATGACGTAAAACCCCCCAACATTATATATTTTCTGAATGCCAAGACCCTATAGAATAAAATGGTGGTAGTTGAAAATTTTTATGTTGCGCAATATTAGCGCAACTCCTTATTAAACCCCAAAATGTAGTGACAAATTTAATTAAATGCCCCAAAACACAACAAATTACCCATTTTTTTAATGAAATATAAAAGATGAGGTTACAACGAGTAAAACTATACCCAACATGCCCAGTTTACAGATTGCGTGCGACCGTGAAACGGCGAAAAACTGCAGTACCCCAAAAAGTCAATAAAAGACACTTTAAAAGCCCCCACAGGTCATCAATTTAGAGATACCCCAAAATACTGGCCCTAGAATTATTGCTCTATAAAGAAAACCTGCTGAATACGGAGACCATCACTGCTGATAGTTCCTTGAAGAATTGCAAATTTACTACTTTGAGTTACTGACCTGGGATAAGAATGATTAGAACCTCTGCCAGGTATTTATTGCCGTCCTTGTACCTGTTGGAGAGTTTTCCTAACTTTCCCCTGTTATGCAGCCAAGAAGTGAAGGCAAATCTCCTGAATGGGGACGCAGACACTAGTAAAAACCTATAGGATAAGTCAGCGTTTCTCAAACTTTTAGTCACGGCCCCCTGTAAAAGTATGCAAAATCTCGAGACTCCCCCCCTTCCCCCCGTCTAAGACATAAAAAAGGTAAATGTAAAAATCCATACCAGACCCTTATCCCAGATTGGGGTCTGGTATGGATATTAAGGGAAAACCCCACGCAAAAACAAACAAGTAGGGCTCCCCCAGAGTTCCCCTTGACATCAGGAGCCCTTCCCCCCTTGAAATCGGGAGCCCTTCCCCCCTTGAAATCGGGAGCCCTTCCCCCCTTGAAATCGGGAGCCCTTCCCCCCTTGAAATCGGGAGCCCTTCCCCCCTTGAAATCGGGAGCCCTTCCCCCCTTGAAATCGGGAGCCCTTCCCCCCTTGAAATCGGGAGCCCTTCCCCCCTTGAAATCGGGAGCCCTTCAAGGAGCTGCAGAAGGTGGGACGGGGTGGTGACCTGGATGGAGAACTACCCTCCTTTTCTGAATGGATCCGACCCTCCCTGGGCTCCCCGGAGAGAGGCTGGGATAAGGAATGGAAATGTCTCTCCACTTATAAACGCACAGAATGATATTGTATTTAAAATCACCGAGGACAAGGCGCCGAGTTTCGGGTCTGTGGGGGTCCCCTTCAGGGTTACACACATTTAGAACCATGAATGTAATCCGTGTCTTGCTGAACCTCTTCTGCCTGTACTGATCCCTTCATTCTAGAAATACAGACACGTGGACAACATTATGTTTGAGAATCACACCATCGCCGACCGCTTCCTGGACTTCTGGCGCAAGACCGGCAACCAGCACATCGGCTACTTGTATGGGCGGTACACTGAACACAAGGACATCCCTCTGGGTATCCGGGCCGAGGTGGCTGCCATCTACGAACCTCCACAGGTAAGATTTGGGAGCCGTGTGTTGTCATGGAGGAATAAAGCTGCAGATGGCGGACTAGTCACGGGGGGGTCACTGTTACTTTTTTTAAAATCTGCTCATCATCTGCCGCCCCTTTCTGCCCATTCCCCCATTGCCTTCCACTCACCCAATAAATAAAATTCATAATACTAACAAGAAGCCGATCCCACCTCAACCTAACCACTGAACTATCACGTTCTCAGACAATTCATCCCCACACAGCTACCGCCTCATGTATCACTGGCCCCTCTCTTTTAGAATGTGAGCCCTCAGGGGCGGGGCCCTCCTTCCCATCTTGTCTTGAATTGTATTGTGATTGTAATGTCTTCCTTATATTGTAAAGCGCTGCGCAAACTGTTGGCGCTCTATAAATCCTGTACAATAATCACCAACCTCGTCTGTAAATATCACCCAAATGGTCTTCACTTCTCCCAAGGCCTCCTGTTCTCTAGCCCCCTCGTCACCCCCTCCCATGCTCACCTCCAGGACTTCTCCAGAGCCTAGAATGCCCTATACCAATCTGTCTGGCAAACTCCTACTTTGTCACCCTGTAGGGGCAACCTCAGCACTCCAGCTGTTTTGAAACTACAAATCCCACGAGGCATTGCAAGGCCCTGACAACCACAGGCACGGCTCCCAGCGGCAGAGGCATGATGAATTTTGAAGTTTCACCACAGCTGGGGTTCTGAGGTTGCTATCACCTGCTGCAGGTAATCCCTGACAACTCATTTCATCAGGGAAGCCTATCCCACCTCCGAACAACTGAACTTTTACTTTCTCTATCAGCTCATTCCTCACAATTAAAGCAAAGCTCCGGGCAAATCAATTGGTAATCCTTATAGTGGGGCTACCCTGGCACTGAAAGGGTTAAGTCTTCATTTTGTGTGGGGAGCTAAAATAACAAAGTTTATACTCGCCCGAACCTCGATCCTTGCGGTTAGGCTAGTGCCTTCAGCCTCGCTTCCCCTCCGCTCCAATGGTCTAATGCCCTGTACAGTGTATAGAATGTGAGGACGCTGGCGCGGGGGAAGAGGCAGGAAGCGGTTTAAGGGCTTGTTCACACCAAGCGCGGAGCAGATCCAGACCGGATCAAAACTGCGTCCAATGTACTCCTATGGTATTTTGACCTCCAGTTCACATCGCAGCGTGCGGATCCCGACCGGATGAAAAAACTGCGGCAAGCCCTATTTTACCTGCTCTGGATCTGGTCTGGAACGCATCAAAAACGCGACGCAATGCAACCCAATGCAATTCAATGGGAAAAAATAACCATAAAGAAAAAAAACCTCTATGGTCATCTGTCATGACCTAATCTTCCTTTGTCACTTCCTGTCTTTGGAAGGGACACATCACATGCAAACAGTCCTACCTAGATATCGACATGCGGGTGTATGAAAAAAACTTGTCTGGGTGTGCACGAAGGTCTGCATATAGAGTCCCAAACTGGCCCTTTGGATCTCTTTCTCTCATCAGTGGGTGCAGCCAAAAGCGACGTCTCCTTACAGCACTTTGGCGTAGCAGTATAATAACCATCACCAGGAGCATGCCTGCATCCCATGGATCCATGTTGCAACAATTTTACATGTGAAACAAGGTCAGAGGAAGCAGGAAATAATCGGAACAGCTAATGAAAGGTCAAAGGTAAAAGGAAATGACCAAATAACCTTGTTAGCTTCCTGGAAAAAACGCATCAAAAACGCGTCAAAAACGCATCGTGCGTGTGCAGAAACCTGACCGGATCTGGTCTGCATTTGGTGTGAACAAGCCCTAAGAGGCAGCCAGGATCGCGGTTCGGGTGAGTATAACTTTGTTATTTTAGCTCCCTACACAAAGGCCTCATTCAAACTGCCGCGCGTATACCATATGCAACATATGCAAATAAATGGCTCCATACACAGAGCCGCGCATGGAGCCGTTTATTTTCGTAGCGTATATATATGCGCAAAAAACAGAATGGGATCGAGATGCGCCCGGGCAGCGTATTTCTGCGTATTTTACGCATGTTCGCGCGTATGTACGTACAGTTCATTAAAATTTCCATTAGGAATGATGCATTCTGGGAATGCAAATAGTGCTCGTATACACGCGCACAGACGCTCGTCTATACGCAATATACAATCTTGCTTGCGTTGTGTGTGAATGAGGCCTAAATGAGCACTTAACCCTTTCAGGGGGGGGGGGGGGTAGCCCCACTGCAAGGGTTAGGAATTCATTTGCCCATAGTTCCTCTTTCATCCTTTTGTATCACTTGCCCCTCTCTTTTAGACTGTAAGCCCCTCTTGTCCTGAATTGTATTGTAACTGTACTTGTCTCCCTTCCTATTTGCAAAGCGCTGTGCAGACTGCAGACCTCTAACATGACCGGGTCTCTTTATCGGCCGTGTATTTGGCATGTAGTTGTAGGGAACACCGGCACAGATTCTTTATGTTTTACTTCCAGGTAATATGAGTGCATTTCCCTCCATGTCATTGTGTTTCCTCTCATAGATTGGAACGCAGAACAGCCTGGAACTGCTCGACGACCCCAAGGCCAAAGTGGTGGACGAGATTGCGGCCAAACTTGGATTAAGAAAGGCAAGGACTGCTCATGGCTCTCAGTGTGCAATGGCAGAGCTCACCGGACCGGAGAGGTGTTCACACATGGCGGCCTGTTACTGGAATCCCAGTTCTGCTGTAATAAGAGGATTTTCCTTCAGTCTTCTATCTGACCTCCGTCCTCCCCTTCAGTCTTCTATCTGACCTCCGTCCTCCCCTTCAGTCTTCTATCTGACCTCCGTCCTTCCCTTCAGTCTTCTATCTGACCTCCGTCCTCCCCTTCAGTCTTCTATCTGACCTCCGTCCTCCCCTTCAGTCTTCTATCTGACCTCCGTCCTTCCCTTCAGTCTTCTATCTGACCAGCCTGGAACTGCTCGACGACCCCAAGGCCAAAGTGGTGGACGAGATTGCGGCCAAACTTGGATTAAGAAAGGCAAGGACTGCTCATGGCTCTCAGTGTGCAATGGCAGAGCTCACCGGACCGGAGAGGTGTTCACACATGGCGGCCTGTTACTGGAATCCCAGTTCTGCTGTAATCAGAGTACTTTCCTTCAGTCTTCTATCTGACCTCCGTCCTCCCCTTCAGTCTTCTATCTGACCTCCGTCCTCCCCTTCAGTCTTCTATCTGACCTCCGTCCTTCCCTCCAGTCTTCTATCTGACCTCCGTCCTCCCCTTCAGTCTTCTATCTGACCTCCGTCCTTCCAGTCTTGCACAGTTGTACCGGCTCCTCTCCTCTTCCTCTGATATCACTGCACACTGGGAGCTTCTCACATTGTGCATTAGAAGCTGCAGCAAGTCAGACAGATCCCACCTCATTTCCTGGCTGGAGGACCTCCAGCATCATCTAGCAGTTTCCTCTCCAGCCTGACATCCCTTATCCGCCCCATTTTATTCATTGGCTTTCAGCTTTTTCAATCACGGAGACTCAGCATCACATGTGGGCGTTACTAGGAACGCCCACTCCTCCAGACTGACACCCACCCATCGAGGCATTTTCATATTTGCATAACTCCTCCCAAGAGCCGGCCCACTGCTTGCATCATGGCTCTTGAGAGCAGTACTTAGGCCGGGTGCTGTGATGGTTTCAGGAAGCTATATACAGCACCCTGCTGGCTCCTCCAATCTGCCTGAACGGCATAGAAATGCTCAGAGACTCGGTATGTAATGAAAACTGAAAGCTGTTTTTTATTATCACATATCCCAGATCGCTGACAAAGGGTAGCAGGGTGGAACGATGCACTACAGCATCACCTGGAGAAAAAACTCACCCCAAAGCAGTCACTGTATTCCCGGAATGTATTTCAAGGCTTTTTATTATTTATTATATACGTTATTCCTGACAGTGAACTCTTATTTGCTCCCTTTTAAGTCTCTTAAATATCCCATTGAAAGTGTTTTTTGTTAAAGGAGAACTATGGGTTCAGTGCTTTTCCCCATAGTTCTCCTTAGGGTAACGGGAGGACACAAACTAGCGTCCTCCCGTCACCCTAAGCTCAGTATATAGGGAGCTACAGCTCGCAGTATACCGAGACGATGCAGCTGGAGCGGATCACGACATTTCTGTCTTGATCCACCCAGCTGCCTGATTGGCAGCTGGGTCTGCCTATCTGGAGGCAGAGCCAGCTGTACCCTCCCCCGTCCGTTCCGCCAGTCAGAGCTGGAGGATCGGACCGGGGGCGGGGGAATCCCTGCAGGGAGCCGTGAGTGACAGTTCTCTCTGCACGGATAGATCGAGCGCAGAAGTGAGCGAGCGACGGTATGCGATCGCTCACTCGATCTATTGAGCCGACCTGTGACAGTCTCATTGTCACAGGTCGGCTAGAACTATGAGGTGAGTAAAAAGCACCCCCCCTCATAGATTATGAGGCTGAGTGAAAATCACTCGCCTCATAATTCTCCTTTTTTAAATCTTAAAAAAAAAAAGATTGATCCTGCCAGAAATCTCGTCACGTAATAACTTCCTGCGCCGATTGTTGTTAGCTGCATTGTTCCCAGTTCTCTCTGCAAACTACAGATGTTATATAGAAAAGGAAGTGTTCCGTAGTCCTAACAAACTTCCTGTCCTCTCTGCACAGGCTCTGTTCCGCACAGTGATGATGTCACTGCGACTTTTAAAAGATAATACCTGGGTTTGAAAAGGCATTTGTGCTCACAAAGTTATTTGAGGAAAACATTTCAATGAATGTACTTGTGCCCGGAGTTCAGCTTATAATATGCTTTGTGGGTACAGCTCACCATCTGCTTATTGTGCGCAGGTTGGCTGGATATTCACAGACCTGGTATCGGAAGACACCAGGAAAGGCACGGTCCGCTACAGCAGGAACCAGGTGAGCAGAAATGGGATGTTGTCCTTCGTACAGTTTGCTTATTCATGGTCCTTCATGAGCCCTAAACCCGAAATCTTTCCCGCAGGACTCTTATTACCTAAGCGCGGAAGAGTGCATCACCTCTGGCTTCCTTCAGAACAAGAACCCCAACACTTGTCGCCTCTCACCGGATGGACATTTCGGCTCCAAGTTTGTGAGCGTTGTGGCTACAGGTAGGCTCAGTCGGTGCAAAGCCACAGTGAGAACTGAAGGGGTTAATGAGAGCTGATGAGGCCAGTGGAATGTTTAGACCTCAACTGTCTGGCGCCACCTTTTTGTTCTCGGAATAATAGCCGTGCCTTCTGGACCTGACTCTGCAATAACCTAACCTCCTAGTGGTGCCATGGTAACAAACACAGACTATGAATCGTATAGGGGTGCATCACTAGAGGGGTCCCCAGCAGGAGGAAGGAGGTCCTGATCCCTCTATATAGATCTTTATTATCACTAGAGGGATCTCCAGCAGGAGGAAGGAGGTCCTGATCCCTCTATATAGATCTTTATTATCACTAGAGGGATCCCCAGCAGGAGGAAGGAGGTCCTGATCCCTCTATATAGATCTTTATTATCACTAGAGGGATCCCCAGCAGGAGGAAGGAGGTCCTGATCCCTCTATATAGATCTTTATTATCACTAGAGGGATCCCCAGCAGGAGGAAGGAGGTCCTGATCCCTCTATATAGATCTTTATTATCACTAGAGGGATCCCCAGCAGGAGGAAGGAGGTCCTGATCCCTCTATATAGATCTTTATTATCACTAGAAAACACTAGAGTGAAACAACTTGATTAAAGCAGTTTATAGCTGACTTGGCCTTATAAAATTGTCAGTGATGTACGCAAGCACGTGGCCACTATAAGGTCGATCCTTGTAGAACTCTTTACTCATCCATATTGCAGTGTGGCAGCATTCACCTCATTACCCATTCACCATACAATGAAGCGGCCTTTACCTTATTACCTATTCACCCTGCAATGCGGCAACGTTCCCATTACAGTCGTTCTTCCTTCCTCTGTAGGCGGCCCTGATAATCAAGTGCACTTTGAGGGATACCAGGTGTCCAATCAGTGCATGGCGCTTGTTCGGGACGAGTGCCTCCTGCCATGCAGAGATGCTCCGGAGCTGGGCTTTGCCAAAGAGTCGAGCAGCGAGCAGTATGTCCCCGACGTCTTCTATAAGGTCAGTTGTACAGATCATAGTGTACATTGTAATACAATAATGACATTTTCGTATTAAAGGAGAACTATGAGGGGGGGTGCTTTTTACTCACCTCATAGTTCTAGCCGACCTGTGACAATGAGACTGTCACAGGTCGGCTCAGTAGATCGGGAGGTGAGCGAACACATAACGGCGTTCGCTCACTTCTCGTTCCGGTCACGGCAGAGAGCCGTGACGGGAGGGACTGGATTCCCCCCTCCCCGCTCCGATCCTCCAGCGCTGACTGGCGGAACGGACGGGGGAGGGGGCGGGTAGAGCTGGCTCTGCCTCTAGATAGGCAGAGCCAGCTGTCACTCACGCAGCTGGGCGGATCCAGACATATTTGAAGGGATCTGTTCCGGCTGCAGCGTCTCAGTATACCGCGAGCTGTAGCTCCCTATATACTGAGCTTAGGGTGACGGGAGGATGCTAGTTTGTGTCCTCCCGTGACCCTCAGGAGAAATATGTGTATAAGCCCTGGCCCCATAGTTCTCCTTTGATGAGCGGAGGGCTCGCATTCATTTGTGTCTTTTATATCTGCCTGGAGTTCAGCTTTGAACTTGGATGTGTTATTTCGATCAGCAGAGGATACTGATAGTAGTCAGTAGCGAGCTGAGATAAATGGCTCGCCTCGGATATTTCTCAGGAAGTTTGGTATTATATTTCACTGTGAGCGTTTCTTCCTTGCAGGACATTGACAAGTTTGGTAATGAAATTACCCAGTTAGCCCGGCCTCTGCCCGTAGAGTATTTGATCATCGATGTAAGTATTCACCCGCATTGTGTCTCCCTACCTCTCCCATATTGTTGACAGTTACATGTTTCTGCACTTTTTTATTTGTATTTACTGTGTTGTGACTTTAGTAGGAATCTGACCACTTCCTGTCTTTTTCTGGCCCTTGCCCCTCCCCATATAGACAACCAAAGCCTGTGCAGCAGACCTGGGAATTTTACAGTCCACGGGCCGTATCTGACCCTTTGTCTGCACATGTCCAGCCTGCAGTGTGGACACGGACCAATCGCCGACCTGCGCTCATTGATGGCTGGCTGACAGTGGATGCGCCAGCTAATAAGGCCAATGCATCCACTTCAAGACATAGCCCAGCACAGGTCGTCAACGGGTCTGTATTTGGACCGTGTTCTTCTCGGTTGCTAAGACCGCTGGCGTCCTAGCAACCAGTGGCGTCACGGGTCCTACCCGTCTGCAGTCATTGGTTCCTTGAACCGCTGGGTGGTCCTAACAACCATTGACAAATGTCTTCCCGCCGTCAGCATTAGTTTTGCATAGATTGTTGCGGGGGTCATGTTTTTATTGTGTGTCCCCATTAGGTAGATTCACCCTCTCTATATGTCCTGGTGGCCTTTATCATAGACACCATATCGCTATACAGGGAGCTGCGTAAGGACACCGGCATGTCCTTCAGGACCGTATCCACTACAGGGCTCTCGGTAGTAGGCAAATTGTCAATGGGGTCATGGAGTTCCCTGGTATCATCAAGGGGGAGAGTTACCTGAGGTGTAGAGGACATCTGAGCAGCTTTTTTTCTGCCGAAGATTCGGCGGGCTGTTGGCTGTGGAAGAGGAGCTGCTGATCGGTGTAGTGCCCTTGGCGCTGCTAGCCATTCGTCCGGCTGCTGGAGCAGGTCCTGTATTCTGCAAGGTCAGGCCGCGTGTAGAGCCGGCGCCATCTTGCTTGGCTGGGGCTCCGACCATGGAGAAGAAATCTGTTAGTTTGCGGGGACCGCGTTTCCTCGTCTTCCTCCCCATAGCTGCCGACACCTTGCGGGAAGCAATCACTGCCTGTGGGGTCTGGATACTGGTGTTCAGTCGCTGGCAATGATGCTGGTGTTGCTCTAGAGCTTCAGAGCCTCTCTACTATGCGGCCATCTTCCCCGGCGTCAGGCCACGCCCCCCCCCCTGGTTGCCTTTATCAATGAAGGGAAAAGAAAAGCCCATCAGAATGTCATCAGAACAGGAATAGATGGGAAATCTTCCAGAGGGGATATCTGTTCTGCTGACCACCAGAGATTTCCACTCCCTTCCTGTTGTTACTTTTGGACGGGAAGTGAAGGGAAGTCTACCCAATGGGATACAGATGGTAAAAAAAGCTGACGGGGAATATGACCCTCCCTTACTCTGCCGAAAACTACAAAAAAAAAAGTTTAGGCTTCAGTTTTAATTTAAAGGACAACGTCACTTAAAGGCAGAGATCAGACTGGCCTGCAGTCCACTGAAAAAAAAATACCTTTTCTGGTTTTGATATATTAATCTTGATGGATATTTTTTGCCTTTGTAGATCACCACCACGTTCCCTAAAGATCCGGTCTATACCTTCTCCACCTCATCCAACCTGTTCCCCATTGAAAACAGAGAAGCCTTGGGTGAAACTCAGGTGAGGTGATTCAAAAGAAGAAAGCATGGCCAGTTTTTGCTTCCTGTCTGCACACTCTAGCACCATCCTCGACTTCCTCCTCTGTCTATTCATTTCACTCTGTCCATTCCCTATGAGCCCAGCCTGTCATTTACACACCCACTAGCGGGCTCGTTATCTTGCAGGCTGGTCTCACATTGCACCAGGACTGAGCAGTGTTCAGACAACATTACTTGAATGCCGCTCAATCCTGGAACCCTATAGTCGCCGGATGAGGAATAGGAACCGCCTGGGATGTCACCAGATCAGCTCCAAAAGCCAATTTTTTCCCCAAATCCATGGTCACGTGACATACCCCGGGTACTGAGTCCTCTTCTGTTCTGGACTGCCAAGTAGGAGTATCCCCCTTCAGGTGCCCATGTCACTTGTTGGGTTATTATGTGGACATTTCCCATTGGCTGTCCATCAGGCGGTGTCCTGGCCGCGGTGTGATGACATTATGACTAGGGATGCACCGATACCGATACTAGTATCGGTGCCGATACAGAGTATTTGGACGAGTACTCGTACTCGCCCAAATGCTCCGATGCCTAGCCCGATACTTCCGGTATCAGGAAGCCAGGCAGTGTATCATTACATGCTGCCCGGTTTCCTTATAGTGTATCATTACATGCTGCCCATGCTCCCTCGTCACTTGTGATGCGAGAGCATGGAGCCGACTTCCCGGCCAATCAAGAAGCCGCGAAGCGTGTAATAACGCACTGCCCGGCTTCCTGATTGGTCGGGAAGCTGGTCAATTAGGAAGGCGGGCGCCGTATAATGACGCAACGCCCGGTATTCTGATTGGCCAGGAAGCCGGCTTCATGCTCCCTTGTCATCTCATTGAAAAGAGAAATGCTTGCCATTGTGACTCTCCTTCGAAAAATGACGGCTGCCTGGCTCTCGTGCTTTGAGGTTTTTAGTCCCCAGCCTGATACATGTATACAAATCAGAAGTCCTGACTTCATTGCCTGCATGTTTGTTCCAGGTCGGGGACTTAAAATGTATTGAGATCAGTAAATAAGCAGAAAACTTGGATTCTAAGACGGAGAGGCCAACAATGGTCTCCTCACAGGTTACTGTAATGACACTTAGTGATAGATGAATGCGTTGCCAGGAACCTCCCTCCCCCCCACCATCCTCCATTGCTAAATTGTACATTTTATGAACCTTTTATCTTATTTTCCGTGATGGTTATAACAATCTCTTCTACATACGGGAATTGTCATTTGTACATAACAGTAATACAATGTTGTCGCCATTAACGTTCAATTTCTCCGGGCTCTTCTACAGGACTTTCACAGCCTTGCCACCTACCTGTCCCAGAATCCCTCCGCTGTTTTCCTGGACATCATCTCAGACTTCCACCTACTTCTCTTCTTGGTCACCAACGAGGTGATGCCCCTACAGGTGAGTGCAGAAGTCAAATGGCTTCCTCATAGTAGAGCTGGGATTACCCAGCCGTGGACACTGGACGTACTACACGGGCCCAAAGAAAACGCAGCGGCCAGGTGAACCCCCCCTCCCTCCATTTTCTGTGATTTCCTCTGTTAAAGAACTCCAGAAATGTTTTATTAACCCTTACCGTTGGGCTACCCCTGCCCTGCGAGGGTTAAGTGCTCATTTGTGTCTAGGTGCTAATATAACAAAGGTATACTCACCCAAAGCTCCTAGCTGGCCAGCTGTCATGGCGCTCCCTCCAACCTGTCCCCTTCCTCCTCCGCATTTTGGAATGTTCCTACACGTCCTCATGTCTATGCACAGTGTATAGGCGTTAGGGATGCACCGATTCTAGTATTGGTATCGCTGCAGATACCGAGCATTTGGGCGAGTACACGTACTCGCCCAAATGCTCCAATACCTTCCCCAATACTGGAACTTCAGTGCTGTAGGGAAACATGGAGCCAGCTTCCCGAGCAATCAGGAAGCAGGGCGGCGAGTAATGACGACGCCCCTTTGCTTAGAAGCCGGTTTTCCAGCCAATCAGCATGGACCCAGCTTCCCGGGCAATGCGGTACGGTGCAGTGCGGACCGCATTGCCCGGGAAAAATGCTGCAAGCGCTATCTTGTTCGCACCCAACCGCAGGCACAATGTGCCTTGCGGACGATCGCATTGCGGCCGGAGGGCGTGGCTACGGTGCCATTCACTTCATTGGCCCGCCACGCCCCCTCTTGCCCGCAAAAAAGTGAGCCGCCCTGCAGTGCGTTCTGGCCAGAATCGGCCCGGAACGCACTGCATCTGGTGTGAACCTAGCCTTAGAGTGCGGGAGTAGCCAAGGAAAAGAAGCCAACTTGTTTCAGGGGTTTGCCCCCAGACTAGCGCAGCACTGCGATAACTAGTGTATATCTGTATTTTGGAGACCTTTTGTGCCCTCCTCTCCCATGGAGCATGGAGCCGGCTTTCTGGCCAATTAGGAAGCCGGCTTCCTGAGCCGGTCAGCGCGTCGTTACACGCTGCCTGGCTTCCTGATTGGCAGGAAGCCGGCTCCTTGGCAGGAGCCGGCTCACGTCCAATCAGGGAGCCAGGCAGCGTGTAATTACGCGCTGCCCGGCTTCCTGATACCGGAAGTATCGGGCTAGGCATCGTAGCATTTGGGCGAGTACGTATACTCGGCACCGATACTAGTATCGGTATGGGTGCATCCCTAGTGGTCTTCTCTGCATTAAGGCAAGCCAGTACTTTTCTGTAGCTGCTTCTGTCGGCTCCTTCTGTCATCAGCGACGCTGCGGCCGCCTGGGTGGGGGTGTGGCCAGCTGCACAGCTATGTGCACAGAGAGATCTTCTTTATCGTGGCAATGGCCCTGCGTTATATACTTCACTAACATCTGCCAGCTTCACAAATGTTTCTTTTCTCTGCTGTCCATGGAGGGACACGGCTCTGAAGAATTCCGAGACGTAGGGTTATGCTGCTGTCTCTGGGAGAAATTCTCCTGTAGGCAGCAGCATAACCCTACGTCCCGGAATTCTTCAGAGCCGTGTCCCTCATTGGCAGCAGAGAAAAGGATTTTAAGATCAGAACAAAGTGCTCGGCCCCTCTGCTGTTCCTTCTTCCCTCTTCCTGTAATGAGATCATTTTCAGGACCTGTGATCAGACGCATGTGAGATGTGTGTCACCCCCTCCCCCGGGCACAGCGTACGCCAACACTCTTCCCTTTGCTTGCATACCACCTACACCAGCAGCTGCAGCCGCCATGGAGTTCCATATGCCGGCTGTGTAAGTCAGGCCGGCCCAGTATCAGTCGCTGGCTTTGGCAGGCTGTGATGCTGGCTCCGGACCAGTCCTTACTGGCTGTCATGTGCGGAGCAGCTGGGATGTCCTTGCACGCCTGGTAATCCGGACAGAACGCCATTCCACCCGACTGCCGCTTACAGCAGAACGCTGGGCAGATATTAAAGAGGACCTGTCAGTAGATTACCGACCACATGAATCCATTCCTGACACGTCAATATATATATACAGCATTATTCCACCATCCATCATTAAAAAGCCGTCCTTGGTCTCCACTCCAATGGCTTGGCCTAGGCTGAGATGGTGTCATCAGTCTGCTGCAGGCAGGAGGAAGCATTTCCTCAGTCTCCCCTCCCCCAGGGATCAGTCTGCTGTAGGCAGAAGGAAGCATTTCCTCAGCCCCCTCCCGTGGTGATCAGTCAGCTGCAGGCAGGGGGAAGCATTTCCCTAGTCTCCCCCTCCCCCAGTCATCAGTCTGCTGCAGGCAAGGGGAAGCATTTCCATAGTCTCCCCCTCCCCCAGTCATCAGTCTGCTGCAGTCAGGAGGAAGCATTTCCTCAGTCTCCCCTCCCCCAGTGATCAGTCTGCTGCAGGCAGGAGGAAGCATTTCCTCAGTCTCCCCTCCCCCAGGGATCAGTCTGCAGGTAGAAGGAAACATTTCCTCAGCCCCCTCCCCTGGTGATCAGTCTGCTGCAAGTCACAAGGTGAGAGGCTGCAGCACGGGCTGATCTGTGTCTGGCAGGACAGGATTTACATGATTGTGTCATCTCTGATCCGGTATCTCAGTCCAGGAAATGGACGGTGACCCTGGGTGATGCCTGGACAAAGATGGTGCTGTCCTTCTGGAGTGAAAAGCAGATGAAGGCCTTGTCAGGGGGAGTCATGTGATCGCTGTGAGTAGTAATAAATACCTGGAAGGGTCACATGACCCATTTCTGATCATACACAGTGTGCAGCCAAAACCCGGATCCGGTTATGTTTGGTTGTCTCTGTCCAAATCCGGGAATTTGCCTTTACTTCCTGTCCTGGAAATGCAACAGGAAATGGGAATTCCCTTCACTTTGGTGAGATTTCCTCCCATCTTAGTTGTCACCGGAATAGGTGTCACCCTTGGGGCTATGCGGTGTGGTGGGAGTGGGGGTCCTCGGTTGCAGTCCTGGCCAGGATACTACAGTATCTGCATGGAGTTTGCATGATCTCCCTGTGCTTGCCTGCTCCGGTTTCTTCCCACGCTGGTGGGGTAATTGGCTCCGGTCTAAATATGCCCAGCATGTGTATGCGTGTGAGGTAGGGAGGGATTGTAAGCTCCTCGGGGACTTATGAGAATGTACAGTAAGTCAAGTGCTGCAGAAATTGTCTGCGCTCTATAAGCGGCCGTTTCATTGGCCAGTAGGAGGGGCTTCCGTTCATTCATAGACTGTGATTGGCTGCACGTTGATGATGTAAACAGGAGTCTGTCCTACTGCCTTCCACTCACTGGTAGCTGTCGGTGACAGTTCCGGGGACCCAACTGAGCCCACCACGGAACAACAGAGCAGCGGGTACATGCTTCACCTTGGCGTTCAGGCCCACCCACCGCTCTGCTGCTGCCTATGTGCATTCTGCTGCCGTAAACAGGTTAATAAAGCTGTGAAGTTTTGTCTGATGCTCCTCCTCCTCTGTCATCCTGATCCTTGGACTCATTCATCGCCAATTTTATCTTTTTCAGGACAGTATTAGTTTGCTGCTGGAGGCGGTGAGGACCAGAAACGAGGAGCTGGCGCAGACATGGAAGAAGTCCGAGCAATGGGCCACCATCGAGCAGCTGTGCAGTAAGTGTCCCTTTTATGGTATGTAATGGAGGAGGCGTACGAGCTTCCTCACTCACCTCCGTAGCTGCAGCCGCTGCGGAGCGATTTCATCCTCAAAGGTTCACAGCAGAAGCACGGAGGTCCGGTCTCTCAGCCGCCCAGCTTCCCCCTCTCAGAGCTCCTTCTCTATATTCACATTAGAGATTAGAAGGCCGAGTCACTGCTGGGAGGGGGCGGCAGGAAAATCTGAGCTGCTGATGGAAAGGGAGGGTCAAGCTGAGCCGCTAAATCACTGCTGGGAGGGGGCGGCAGAGATGCTATAACACTGCTTGTAGGGGAGCAGAGGGACCCGATTTGCTGAGTTACTTCCAGGAGGCGGGAGCGGGAAGAGCCCAGCTGCTTAGTTACTGCTGGGAGGCGGGAGCGGGAAGAGCCCAGCTGCTGAGTTACTGCTGGGAGGCGGGAGCGGGAAGAGCCCAGCTGCTGAGTTACTGCTGGGAGGCGGTAGCGGGAAGAGCTCAGCTGCTGAGTTACTTCCAGGAGGCGGGAGCGGGAAGAGCTCAGCTGCTTAGTTACTGCTGGGAGGCGGGAGCGGGAAGAGCTCAGCTGCTTAGTTACTGCTGGGAGGCGGGAGCGGGAAGAGCTCAGCTACTGAGTTACTGCTGGGAGGGGGGGGCGGGAAGGGCTGCTGGGAGGGGGGAGCGGGAAGAGCCCAGCTGCTGAGTTACTGCTGGGAGCGGGAAGAGCTCAGCTGCTGAGTTATTGCTGGGAGGGGGGAGCGGGAAGAGCCCAGCTGCTGAGTTACTGCTGGGAGGGGGGAGCTGGTCCCTGTCTCTCTCCTTATCTTTTATCTCGGCACATTAGGACATGTACTATCCCTATGGGAAAGAACGTTTCTTCAATAGAACTTGCAGGGCCACAGAATGAAGCGATCGTCCTCGGGGGATTCTCTTGTGACTCCTGTGCCCGGCACTCTGATTGCTCTGCCGGCATTATGCTTCATCTTTCATCAGAGCACCACAAGTCTCCCAATGTATCCCTATGTGTTTTATGGGCTACAGTTGTCACGTGCGCAGTCCGCTCAGGTTACCACAGAAAAATACTGCATGTCACATTTTGTACGGTCTGGAAACGCAAAACGCTTTTTTTTTTTTTTTTTACTGGAACGCATCAAAAACGCGGTAAAACACATAGCACCGCGTCTGCTGATCCGCACCTGATCTGGACCTGAAACTCATGTGAACAGGCCCTTAAAGGAGAACTATGAGGTGGGTGCTTTTCACTCACCTCATAGTTCTAGCCGACCTGTGACAATGAGACTGTCACAGGTCGGCTCAGTAGATCGGGAGGTGAGCGAACACATACCGGCGTTCGCTCCCCTCTCGATCCTGTCACGGCTCTCTGCCGTGAAAGGGGAGGGGCTGGATTCCCCCCTCCTCGCTCCGATCCTCCAGCGCTGACTGGCGGAACGGACAGGGGAGGGGGCGGGTACAGCTGTCTCTGTCTCTAGATAGGCAGAGCCAGCTGTCACTCACGCAGCTGGGCGGATCTCGACACAATTATCGGGATCCGCTCCGGCTGCGGCGTCTCAGTATACCGCGAGCTACAGCTCCCTATATACTGAGCCTAGGGTGACGGGAGGACGCTGGTTTGTGTCCCCCCGTTACCCTAAGGAGAACTATGGGGGAAAGCCTGATTTCATAAAGTCCTTTTGTATTTCGTAATTTTTTTTCTAACCCCGTCTCTGCTTTCTGTCTTTTCTTCCCCCTCAGGCACAGTCGGAGCACAGCCGTCAGAGCTTCAAGATTTCGGGGCTACTGGGGGATCCGCAAACGCCGCCTCTTCCTCCTCCATGTGGTCCTGTCTGCACTGCACCTTTATGAACCAAGCCGGCACAGACCATTGCGAGATGTGCCAGCTTCCCCGAACCTAATACGAGATCGCTAACCGTCGGGGTCGGCCAGATGGACCTCCTCCGAGGAGCCGTCCCTTTTACAAGTACATTTCCAGCAGCAAGCCCCACTCTCCACTTACGTTGCCTGTAGGGCTGTGTGACGGAGGAGCCTTTGATCGTGTCCACTCTTACGGGGGGGGGGAGGGGAGCCGAGGGTAGTTTGTAGACAACCAAAGCTTACGCGCGGCACGCCTGATTGCCGTGGAGGGAGGGAGGTGGTCAGGGAGATTTCTTCTTTACAACCATATTGAACTGCCTCCATCTCTGGCGTCAACCACCCGGCCTAGCATTGTAACACATTCCTGTCTTATTTTCCTACCCGTTCATTAAAGCAACCAGAGCAATGTGTTACCTACTAGCTTCCTACAGACGATGAGACCGAATCCGACGTAACGTATCGCGGGGGGCGGGGCTTGGTGCCGCGTAGAAAAATTGGCTTCAGTAAAATGTTTTGATTGCGGCAACCATTTAATACGCCCGGCAAGTATTAATTTTGTTTGAAAACTCTCACCGCAAACAATATTAAAGAGGAACATCATGTTTAAGTTCTGGATTGGACGCGTGATTGGTGCTTTTTGTAGATCAGAGGAAGTGAAAGTTGCCTGGGTTTGGTTCTAAGTCCCCGTCCCTGTCTGTCCAGCCCCTCCCCCCCCAAAAAAATGAGAGAGCAAGGCTGGCAATGTGCTCTAGTAATAGTAGTCAGGGCACTCTAACCTTTAGGCCCCATTCACACTGGGCGTTCAATCGCGCGATTTCCGCCGCGATATGGCGAGAAGTCGCCGTCCAATGATTTTCAATGGAGCTGCTCTATTGTACAGCTCCACGTCGCGCGTCGCTTGTGCTGGACCCTTTTTCCCCCCTGCTGATGTCGCGCGATTTTTCTATTTTTGCATGCATCCCGACGGTGAACGTCGCCAGAACAGTCGCGCTATCCGGTGCCACGTGGATCCGCTCGAGGTAAGGAAATGAAGCCTAAGTGACACTTACCGCTAACCTCTAGCGCGTCCGGGATAGCGCGACTATTCGGGGCGACGATCGCGCGACCGTCACGCAAAAATAGAACAATCGTGCGTCATCCGCGGGGAAAAAAGGGTCCTGCGACGAGCGACATGGAGCTGTACAATAGAACAGCTCCATTTGAAAATCATTGGACAGCGACTTCTCGCAATATCGCGCGGCAAATAGCGCGATTAAACGCCCAGTGTGGATGGGCGCTTGGAATTGATCTCTCACTGGCACCGTTCTTGTGAGTGGAAATCAGACCGA